ATAGAGATGACAAAAAAAAAAAAAAAATAAATAAAGCAAACGAAGACAAATATTTTCACTTGGTCGTATGCCTACTCGAACATTTTCCTTCGAATTGCCGATTTGAAAATTAATATAATGATAGTTACCTTCACTTCATCCTTTGTAATTCCACTAGGAAATGAAAGTAAAAAGAGATTCCTCGCCGCTTTAGAGTTCGAATGATACGTGAAAACTGGCTGACGAGGTTCCGAGAAGCAAATTGTGTGTAATTAAGAACTGACACCAACTGAGTGATAGACTGAATGGTAAAGTGACGCGAATCTACGGATAAAGCACTGCGTTCCTCTTCATCTTCTCGCCTACTATTAGGCGCGTTCGGCACTGCAGAGCTCCCCTTTCTCCCTTTTTCTCTTTCTCTCGCGCGCGCGACGACATACGTCGCGTGTCGCCTCAGAGGCGCGACGTACAAACGTACGAAACCACGCGCGACGCGCTCGGTGTAAAGATCAATGAATTGTTTCAAAACGCGCGCACCACCTCCCCCCCTCCTCTCGCGTAAGTCACGTAACGAAAGTTTACGGGAGACCAACCGGAGGCGAGTATGTAAATAAAAAACGCGCACACACCACTATTGTCTTTCTCTCCTCCGGCTGATGTTGAACACCGCGAACTAGGAACGAAACTGATTTAACCAAGGGGCGGTCCGGCGAATTATGGGTACCCTTTTGGCGGCTCCCCCTCTCCTGTTTATAGTTGCTTCTACACCAACCTTACGTGCGCTCTCTCTAGTTTATCGTGGCTGTATCCCGCTCCGTGTTCACTACCTATTCACCAACCGCGTACACACACACCGCTCTAGCGTCAGTTTGCGCCGCTTCTCTTTATAGGTTCGTTCTCCCTACCATCGATGTCGCGTCCCCTCCAGATGATGCTTCAGCGATATGCGCGTGTGGTTACTCCATTACTCTCTTGAATCTGGAGAAAGAGAGGGAGAGGGTACAAAGAGGGAGAGGGAATAAAGAGGGAGAGGAAGAAGGAGAGGGAGAGGGAAAGGAAGAGAGAGAGGCAGAAAGAAAGGGAGAAAGAGAGAAAGAATGTCAATAAAGATGGATAGGAAAAAGAGAGAGAGAGAGAGAGAGAGAGAGAGAGATGTATAACATTGCCACCTTACATAGCCGCGAGAGTGATGATAGATGCGACATACTGAAACGACGCGCGAGAGCATACTTTAAATACATCTTCCGGTATGGAGTTTTTGCGCGAGAATGATTTTCGGAGCAAACGTTTGTGCGCCGTGGAAGTCGGCAATGTTGACAATCTGCTTAGACACAACCTTTTTACTTGTCTCATATTGATGTTTCGCATCTTCTCTTTCCGTATATTTTTAATGCCAATATCATTTTCGGAGTAAAAATTTACAGTCGCGACATTCGATAAATGAGAAAAAATTATTTGTTAGAAACGTGTAAACGATATGTTGATATATAATTTCTATTGCAGAAATCAACGAGAAAACATTTTGAATAAAAGTAGAATGTAATTGTACAGATATATTATCTAATTAAGAGATTTTTGTGTTTAGTTCGCGAAGGAAATAGAAAACAGGAAAAGTAGAACTTTAATTTGATAAAACATAAAAACCGCAAATGTATAAATTTCCTGTAATATTTTTTTCTTACATAATTAATTAAATTGATTCTTTAGTTACCAGATTTAATGTTATTTCTATAAAATTTTAAACGTCGACACGAACCTTTCTGTCATTATTTTCGGCGATTGAAATCTTTATCAGGAAGACGTTGGATATTATAACGTTATCTTTGAGATGGTGACAATACATAACTTCTAAAAACAGCTTTAGTGTCACAGTTTCGGAATAGAAAGTAATCGATAACAATAAAACGAGAATATTTTCGCACAATTAGCAATCGCGTTCTTAAGACAGATTTAAATTCTATAAATACATTACTTATCAAAATTTTATTTTTCCATAAATGCGCTTTCTATCACAGTCAATAATAAAATTTCTAACAACGTTTTAAAAATAAAAAGATTAAGAAATAGCATTAATAAGTACTTAAAAGACGGTATTACGCAGAAAATTTTACTTCAGGCACATTGAATATAGTATTGCTTAATTATTCTCGAATGCTTTTCTAATGCATATGGAATGTCAATTGAAATTCTAGAAACAAATTAATTATTAGCCATATATGTAGAAATATATA